CTGAGTGAATTTCTGCCCCCAATAAAATTGGGGTGTTGTTTCTAATGAGGAAGGGGAAATGGTTATTATAGACAAGTGACAGCCTCTACCACGTGGGCCTTTTGCATATCTCTTTTTGTCTTACTTCTTTCTATGTTTTTGGCATATCTCTTTATATGACTCTTTTTCATCGGACTTACCCTTTTCAAAAAGCAGCTATCAGGCACAGGTGATTGTGCTGGGCATATAGTTACTGTTCAGTACATGCCAACTGGGTTATTGAATTAGAACGTTTGTTAAGCCATTACACTGATGGAAGGGCAGGGGAAAATATGAGCTCCTCCTTTTGAAGACTTGGTGGTCAGGGCCAGAATAAACATTCTCCGTAATGTCAACCTGGCTTGCAGAAAGCCCAACCGTTCCAAAAACTCAGCATGGGTCAGAATTTGATCTTGCCTTTGTTGCTGCTTCAAATGACAGTTCTTCATCAGGACATTGTGTATGGTGGCTACTGGTGCCATAAGAAAGAGGTTTGTGATTCATGAAATTGCTTCTTAGCCAGAAACATATTAAGCTAAAGTAATGAGGCAATGACATCTTTTTCACGTATATTCCAAGGCAGTGATTGCTCAAGAAAACTTGGCCTTGACATAGCATACCAGCATATATTGAATACTGCAAACTTTTTAGGGTCACCCAATAAATGGAAAAGCCAGACCATATGTGTGAGTCAGATCATTAGAAGTTCAGCTTTGTTGGTTTATGCTTTGAAGTGTCAATCATTAACAGTAAAAAAAATATTGAGTATATGCTCTGATATAATTTTGAAGGGGCAGCTACAAAGAGAAATGATACTTGGTTTTTGCTTTTAGAGACTTTACCATTTAGCATAGGAGATAAGATGCAGATGGCAGCATTAAACAAGGTACGATCTGAGGAGGACTGCAATAGAGAAGCAGTGGGAAGCAGAGAGAGAGAGGTTCGGATTGGCGCTGGGAGGAGGGCTCCAGGTGAGGCTGCATGAAAGAAGTGAAGAGTGAAATCTTCAAGGATGGGGACATTTTGGACCCACGGGGAGAGGAGTTGAGAGGATGGAGCAGCCTTCCCCAGAAGGGAGCTGCATGAGCAAAGGCCTGGAGAGAAGGCAGCTCGGGTATCTTCAGAGGTTGCTCAGGACTCAAGCTGGGTCTGCAGATGCATATGTACTCAGGGAAAGGGCTCCACAAGCATATCATTTGGGGAACATGGAGATTTTAATTATGAGCATACTGAAGGCTCTGAGAAGGCCCTTTCCTTAAAGGAAAATTTACGTCTACAGTAAGTCCTCACTGAACATCGAAGATAGGTTTTTGAATGTTTAGGAAAACCAATTTTACCATAGATTAATAGGTATAAACAAGAATTAAGTTCCTATGGTATCTCATCAGTGTTGTAAGGAAAGAATATTGGACCCAATGACATTAAGAAATGGTTTTATTTGAGGACCTGTTGTGTTTAACTTTGTTAAACTTAAACAAATTTATATGAGCAGGAAAGACTTTTACACTGAGATGCAGAGTGTTGGAAATGTGGTTTATATCTATTTCCAGGAAGAAGGAATGGGTTTGCGAGGCATCTGGTGGTTTGCTTATAAACACACTCCTCAGACTGACCTATTGGCCCAATAGCAGGACAGAGCTCCCAGGCCACAGTTCTTTCTTCTTTACCACCTAGTCCACTGCTCACCGCCCCGCCCCCCACCAAGAAGTAAAAAGCAATTGTCTTCAAAGAATTTTGCTCCTTTTCCCTCAAAGTATTTAAAAAAGCTATGTGCCCCCTTACCTCTTTCTTAGTTAACCTGTAAGTTTTTCTTCATAAATTTAAATAATTGCAAAGGATAAAACTTCAAGCATAATTATTGAAACATTTGAAATAAAATAATACATCACTCTTTTATTTTTTTTAAAGTTTATAATGGTCTTTATTATCCATGAATGAGTGAGATCATGTGGTATTTTTCCTACATTGACTGGCTTATTTCACTTAGCATGATGCTCTTCAGTTCCATCCATGCCATTGCAAATGGTAAGAGTTCCTTCTTTTTTACAGAAGCATAGTATTCCATCATGTAAATGTACCACAGTTTTCTAATCCATTCATCTACTGATGGGCACTTAGGCTGTTTCCAGATCTTAGCTATGGTGAATTGTGCTGCTATGAACATATGGGTGCATATATCCTTTCTGATTGGTGTTTCTGGTTTCTTGGGATATACATCACTCTTTTAAATTAACCCAGTGGCATAAAGATTCCATAGTCTTTGATGCCCACTATCATCTAATTTAAAAAAAAAAAAACGAACAAACATGAACAGGCTTTTACTTAATAGCCACAAATTCTGAGACAGCATCAGGACTTGGGCCCAGGAATGAAGAATATTGGGTGTACAAGAAGCCAAGGTAAGGCTAGGTGGTCAGAAGGAACACCAGATGAGCTGACCTCAGAAAGATCACCACCTCTCCACTCCCTACTCAAAAACACAGAGGTAGCTGATTTTATCCCTTACTGTGGATGTTAAACTACTGACCCTCATGCAATTTGATCGAAGTCTGACCCTTATATATCCTTTCTAGGGTGGCAGAAATGAGAAGTCTGTCATCTTGCCACGTAGTGAAGGCGTGAACATAGTTACTAGGCAACATAGCTGGAAAGGGCAAGTAAACCCATCCTAATATGGAAAATTCCACCCTGAACCCTTCACAAGCCTTTTCACATAAGCCCACCCTGTTCCCAGCTTAGAAAAGCAGCCAAATACAGCCAGCCCCTGAACCAGTTCAGAGGATTTTCTTTTCCTCTGTGCTGCCTCCCTTGTGCTCAAGCATAAGCTTAATAAAATCTGTCTGGAAATTTCTCTGGCATTTTCTCTCCATTTCTATCTTGAGGAATCCAAGAACCCCAATGCTGGTAACAATTCTGTACTGCATCTTTTCACCTGAAAAAAATCACATTTTTATTTTCCCCCCAGTCACAGAATTTTCTCTTATTGTAACATATTTTCATGTTTGAAGATCTTTTATTGATCAACCTATAAAAATTTTCAGCAACAAAAATATTTTCCCACATTGAAAACAATGATTTTTTACAACTCCAAGGCTCCAAGTTGCAAAACAAATTTTGTTTAGGTTGTGTTATCATTGTAATTATTAGTAATTCACAATTGATCCAAATAATACATATGTATATGCTATACACTTTAATAATAAAGAGTAAAATATTGTAAATGCTTCTGTAAATGATAAATATGAGGTGAAGCTATATTTTTCTATTAGTGGCTCTATAGATATAAAAATTTTAAATTGTTCTTTTGTTTGGTACCTTGGGTACCATGCTTTGTATGGCTGTAAAGTGTGTCTCTCTCTCTTTTTATTTTTTTCAGAATGGGAGAAAACTGGGGAAGGGGACTTGTAAAGGAGAATTGGCTTGCTAACTCAAGATGCTTTCTTATACAGATCAATCATGTAAAAGAATACACATTTGATAATTGTGGACATGAAAGTTGTTTCCTCTAAATCAATTTTATTTGTGCCTGTATATGCTTTGGGAGGTCTTCATATGAATATAGCTCTGTTTGAAGATTGCTGATGTATAGAAATGAAAAATGGCCCTACTGTCAGGATATAGAGTCACTTTGCTTATAATTGGCTATATTTCCCTAAATAAATTACATAACCTCAAAGGAGTAAGTCTCCTCCTCTTTCAACGAACTTCAAGGCCCTTATGGCACCCACATTCTGATTCCCAGGCACTCTTCTGGAGGTGGAAGTGATATCACTGAGGCTGCATTTATTACTGAATATCTCCATCAAATCATCTTTTCCAAGCAATTAGATTCTGTAGCAATCTCATATCCACAAATCAAACAGATTTATGAAATCAATCTTTGACCTTTGCAGCAACTAGAAAGGAGCTTAGATGAAGGGAACAGAGCTGTGGGGCACTTCTTTTCTTTTTTGATCAGATATTCGGTTTCCAGAGCTTGCATGACTGATTCTGTGCTTCAGTGACTCTCTTATAACCTTAGCATGTAAAAATGGAAAAATTCCCCTGACATTTTCAGGAAACATTTATTACAGATGATTTTATACGTCTGGTGAGAATGGGCTAAATGATTTTTCACAAGAGCAGGGTTTGGCAGAAAGCCTGTCCTCCTCTGGTCCCCCTCTTGCCAAAAATCACTCCAGAGCCGACCTGGAGGCCTCTTGATTTCCCTCCCATATGAGGTCAGATTGAGAAAAGGCTTAGGTGGGAGTAACCCTTTCATTTACAGTGAGACACAAGGTCCCTGTACAGGTGGAGGACCTCTCCGTATCTGCGTTTCTGGGAAATGCCAGGCAAAACTTAGTGCCTTTATCTTCCTGGAAAGAACATGATGTCCCAACTGGTCACATAAAGTCAACCATATGGTAGATGTGCATTACCAGTGGGTATGGCTGGATTGTTTTACTCCTGACCCTGCCTCACACCATTCATCCACTTATCTTCCTGACACTGGGAGGTGTTTGAGTTTGTGATCCTTATTCTAGCAAACCACTTCATGATTATGTACAAGATTTCATCATCAAATGCTACATGATAAAGTAGACTTTCTGGGCAAAAATGTCCGCTCTCTTTACAGCGGCAAATATACCTTCTGTTATCATGAACTGGCTGGAGGACAAATGTACAGCATGTTGGGGTATTTGACTTGGAGGAATGTGCCCTAGCTCATGTGAGCTCACCTACAGAGCATGTTGGGATTGTAACAGTGTAGGCCCAGTGATGGACAGAAAGTGGGACATAGCTTATGGGTGCTGGAAAACCAATGGGCAGGAGAAACTGGCTCAGGGGGCAGCCTGGGGATCTGACCCTCAGTGTCTAATGAATGTGGAAGTTTTGTATTTTTTTAAATTGTGACAAGTCATGATTTTGCTATTGAGGCCATCCACTGTGTTTTGACTTATATTTCTTCTAAAGGATGTGAGGACACCCACTGGGGCACTGCAAAAAATACAGAACACTTCATGAGTTTGCATGTCATCCTTGTGCAGGGTCATGCTAATTGTCTCTGCATCATTCCAATTTTAGTATATGTGCTGCTGAAGTGAGGACTGGATGTGGCAAGTTCTTAAATGTTTGTGTAGGTGTGTATTTGGACAGGGAGGTTTAATCTGAAAGTGAGGCTTCTCCTTACCACACCTCCATGGTAGGAGGTTCCAGGAGGTGGGCAGTACTCTAGGAGTCTGGGCAGTAGGGCCTGAACAGGAAGGAGAGCAGTGTGAGGTACTTTGGGTGTGGGTTTTCATTCAGAAAGCTCAGGTTCAGGGAGGGATTGAATGGAATGAGGGCCCAGGCCTAGGGAATGACCAGGGCAAACTGCAGGGGCTGGAGTTAAGGATTCTGTGGTTTAGAGGCTATGGGGTGAGCCCAGGTTCATCCTAGCACAGTCTAAGTGACTACAAGCAGGAAGATTCATCTCAGACCTCGCCTGTTGTTGCTGCTAAGGCTTCTGTCCTTATAGACAAGAGAATAGGAGATTAAAACAGATGACAGATGTGGACATCATTATTGACTGTAACACACAGGCAACAGGACCAACAAATCTACGTGTGTGTGGGGGAAAGTGTGTTGATGATAATGGTGCCCTTGCTCTCCCAGTGTTGCCCTCACCCATGTCCTTGGATGAGGCCAGGAATGGAAGGGCATATGCTGATGAGACTGTGATTGACAATTGACATCTCTATGAGATGGTGCTCATAGCTTGCCTTTGTGTGTGCGTCTGGGTTGTTTTTTTTCTTTCTTTGATAAATCCATCCTGTAAATTATACTCTGTTTCAGAATTCGCAGAGATGTGACTTGTCTTCTAATCTAAAAAGCAGATTCTATATACTTTTATGATTCTTAGGAAATTATATTTGTGATAGTTAACTTTTTTTTTCCTTCTGGGATGTGGTGACAGAGTGAGGCGAGGAGCATTTTATAATCCCCTTCTCCCCAAACTGCAGGACCCCAACCCCTCCTCAAGGAACTCACAGCCTGGCTAGAATTGAAGGTCCGTCTATTCCTCTGGTGGACTTGGAAATATGCTGGAGGTACAAACAAGATGGTATCAGTGGGAAGAAGAGATTAATTCTGTCTGGAAGCTTCTTGAGGGAAGATTGAGACATGGCCTCTAAACCACAGAATCCTTAACTCCAGCCCCTGCAGTTTGCCCTGGTCATTCCCTAGGCCTGGGCCCTCATTCCGTTCAATCCCTCCCTGAACCTGAGCTTTCTGAATGAAAACCCACACCCAAAGTACCTCACACTGCTCTCCTTCCTGTTCAGGCCCTACTGCCCAGACTCCTAGAGTACTGCCAACCTCCTGGAACCTCCTACCATGGAGGTGTGGTAAGGAGAAGCCTCACTTTCAGATTAAACCTCCCTGTCCAAATACACACCTTCACAATGGAGCCTGAAGGAGAGATAATTACAGTAGAAATTGCTTTTTCTGAAGTAGAAGAATCACAAACAACCCAGTGACATGTTGTCCAGGGAAGACCTTTTCCTAAGAGCTGTTTGAGACAGAGACCTCGTCTGTGAGTCTGAACTTAAATGGGAGAAGGTGAGAAGAAGGGACAGAACTTTACAAAACTCAGGAAGTGCTCCCAACTTCTAGAGAGAAAGGGGGTCAGGTAAACACTGAAGCAGGGCTTTGGCAAATCGGAGGAAATGTTCTCTTTTGAAGTTATTTCAGGCAAGAGTTATTAGCAAGAGGTGAAGTAAAAATGCACAGCTTGGAACTCAATAAATAATTAATCGCACATTTGTATTGTACGTTATGGTTTAGCAAGCAGGGTCACGGTGTAGGAATTTTTGATGTTTCTGTTTAACAGATGAGGATTCAGAGACTTGGCGAAGTTAAGTCAATTATTTAAGGTCTCATAAGTAGTAAGTGGCCAAATCCTATTGAGACAATGAGTTCTGGAACATTTCTTGATCTATCTTTAGCAGATTATGAAACACTAATCTCTCTTTAGTAAACATTTATCGAGCATCTACATGTAATTAAGGGGTATATGATGGCTTTGGATACAGTTCCTTCCATCGGGGAGCTCACAGTATAATGAATGGTTCTCCACTGGGGGTGATTTTGCACCCCCCAGGGGCCATATGGCAATGTTTGGAGACATTTTTGCTTGTCATGACTGAGGGAGATGGATGCCACTGGCATCCAGTGGGTATGGAGGTGAGTGACGCTGTGACGTATCTTACACTGCCATGGAATAGCCCTCCACAACAAAGAGCTATTTGGCCTACACTGTCAATAGTGTTGAAGTTGAGAAACCCTAGTCTGGTACATCATTCATGCATTCATCCATTTTATCACTTATTCTATTAACTTTCTGAGTACCTACAATGGACCAGGTACTCTTTATGCATAGATGATATGATGGGGGCAAGGCAGAAGAAGCCCCTGTTCTCATGTCACATTCTAGGTGTGGGGTAGAGGATAGCAGGGAGGTAGAGTCAGACATTAACAAGTAAATGAATTAATAACAAGGAAAGTATCAGGTGGGGATATGTGCCAGGGAGAAAGTTCAGATGTGTTGGTTTAATTATGTACAACTTGTGGGTTGCTTTTGGTTGGCTGATCACAGATGGCTTCAATTTGAATGGCGAGCAGCTACCTGAGGAAAGGGCATGTCAGTCCAAGAGGAGAGCAAGTGCAAGAGATGAGAATACAGTTGGAATGTAGTTTCAAGGAACAGAAGAAAGACTGGGCTGTTTGGGATGTGGAGGGAGGAGGAGAGAGTGATGGAGATGATACTGAAGAGGGTGGCAGATGCTACATCCTATTAGAGCTTTGTTAGCCGAGTTAAGGAATTTGGGTGGTCTTCTAAAGCCTTTCATGTGACTGTTCTCATGGAGAGAAATGATAAGGGTTATGATGAAAAGGAAATAGAGTCTTGGCAACAAACTGTCTGAGGAGTATGACATTGAAGTTGATGGCCAGAGAAGGTCTCTCTGAGACCTAGATGTTGAGAAGAAACCAGTTGTGAGGAGGCTTGGGGACCAGTAATATCCCTGGGGTTATGGATCAAATTGGGCCCTCCCTCCAATTCGTATGTTGAAGCCCAAACCCCTGGCACCTGAATATGACTATATTTGGAAATAGGGTCTCCAAAAAGGCAGTTAAGTTAAAATGAGAACAGTAGAGCCATCTGATTGGTGTCCTTATAAGAAGAGGACATTTAGACAAAGAGATATCAGGGTTGTGTGCACTAAGGAAAGACCATGTGAGGCACAGAGAGAAGGTGACTACCTGCAAGGCAAGGAAAGAGGCCTCAGAAGAAACCAAGCCTCCTGACACTTTGATCTTGGATGGTCAGCCTCCAGGGCTGTGAGAAATAAATTACATCGTTTAAGCTACCTGTCTGTTGTGTGTTATTATTGCTGCTTCAGCAAACTAATCCATCTGGGGTTTCAGTTTTCTCATCTGTTGAATAAAAGGCTATTGTGGATTTTTAAATTAAGGTTCTTTCCATTTCTAAGAGTCTTGGATTCTAAGAAATTCATGAGCTCCTTCTCAGGGCTGACTGTACTCTGTTCCTTCATCCGAGAATGAGAGAACAGTTTAGGGGGGAGTAGAGGAACCCTAGAGAGGAATTCGGAATTAGATGTGGAGTTCCCATCAATTTCAAAGAACGCCTGAGCTGGGAGAATTGCCCAGTCACTTCTCCCACATAAAGGGGATTTGAAACCGGAGATGGGGATCTACACGATCGCTATGGCACGTATGTCATCCTTGGGGACAGGCAGAATTCGTGTCAGAGTTTCCAGAGGGGAGATGGAACTTCAGGAATTTTCCCCTTGGAAAGATTTCCCTAAAGACTATGGGGACTTTCACTAGAGACCACGGAGGACTTTTGGCTCCCCTGGTACTGGATGCACGCACAGTTCCAGGCATTGTAGGACCCTGCCTTGTGTGAAGGAGCCTCTTTGACTCATCCTGTCCATTCTGGCTCTTATCTTGACTCTGACAGTGAAAGATGGAGGATGATATTGGCTCCAGGATCAGGAACTAGGTGGGTGAAGCTTCTGCAAAGTTCATGGGTGCCTGCTTGCTGAAAAACAACTCCAACCTAGCAATTAGTGCCGTTGTCCTCTAAGCAAGAGCCCTTGAAAAATGGTGGATCCTGTTTGAGCAATTACTTTTGTGTGTAACTTTTTCCTTACAATTTGAGATACATCAGAACATATTGAAGGGGGAAGCCTGTGCCTTGATGCCCAGCCTTTCATAGTAGCCATCTGTCCAAATATTATAATTCAACGAATATTTACTGAGCAATTCACATTACTTATTATTCTGGGGGAGAAAAGGGATGGGGAGGAAACACAGACACTAAACCAGGATTTGATGTGTGTGTGTGTGTGTGTGTGTGTGTGTGTGTGTGTGAAGTGTTTGAATAAAGTGGCTGGCAGGGAGTAGTTGCTCATTAAATGGGTAATGAAGGAACGAACATTTTATACTTTAGGTTCCATTTCTATTTCTGCCTCTATGTTTTAGTATGAAATCCCAGTAGAATGTAAATCCCTCTGTTCCCCAGAATATAAGCTTTCTGACAGAAGGGGCTTTTGTAACATTAAATAATGTTGCACCCCCAACACCCACAATAATAATTAGTACATATTATTTACATGTAGTCAACTAGTGCTTATTAGAAGAAGGAATGAATGGCCTGAGAGATAAATGAATCTCTCTAGGTCTCATTCATTTATTTAGCACATGTGTACTGGGTCTATGTTAGGTTCTTAGGATGCAAAGGTGACCAACCTAAAGGCTTTGTCCTCCAGGAGTGGTTTAAGAGGGAAACAAGTGAGCATACAAATTAGTACATTTTGATGATTTCTATGATGGAAGACAGCAGAGGGATATTGAGAGCACAGAGAAGCCAGAGCTGTAGCTTAGGAAGAAGTGAGCCTGGTGGCAAGGGGGTGAGGAATATGATGAGCGAAGGCACAGTGGTCATAGGTTGGAGAAGTCTGGGCTGCCATGTGATCAGTATGGCTGGACTCTGGGCACCTTATGGGGGAGTGACAGGAAACGGGGTTGAAGGGATAAGTAAGGCA